TCAGACCCTCCATTGGGTCTCTGCTGAAAACGCAGCCCAGCTCCCATTCTGTGCCCCGACTGGAAAGCCTGAGTCACACAAGGATGGGGAATTTTCCTTCTCCCTTCCACAGGCCTCTGAACCTCCCTGACCTCAGCCCCTGTGGAGGGTGGGGGAGCAGGCGGGGCCTGGCCAGCTGTTCTGCAGGAGTGCCCCCGGACAGCCCTGTCTGTCTGTCTGTCTCCATCTGCCCTGGGGACCGAAGTCAGGGAGGAAGTGCCGCGTCTGGTCTTCCCCAGAGCGCGCGAGTGCCAGCGAGGGTGGGACTGCGTGTGGCCCAGCGCAGCCCCTCCCCTCGCCTGTCCCCACCCCAAACCCTCTTAATGAAATCAAGCTGGCCCCGCGGCCCAGCCGGGGAGGGAGGAAGAAGGAGGGCCGGGAGGAGGGTGGGCGGGCAGGCGCCAGCCCAGAGCAGCCCCAGCACAGTGCGGACTGTCTCCCAGCCAGGCGCCCCCCCACTCTCACCCCACCTGGTGGGAGCCCCCAGGCCAGTGCGCTGAGGAGCCGGTGAGTCCTGGGATCCCCTCCTCCGTCCTGAGGGTTTGGGACTGTCTGGCCTTTCAAGGACTGGGGACTGCCAGGGGGCTTGGTGGGGTGTCTCCTGGTGTGTGCGCGTGTTGAGTGCGTGTCTGGTGCTGTGTGCTCAAGTGTGATGGAATGTGTGTGTGATGCTGGGTTTAGCTGCAGTGTTGTGTGTGCGGTGGCAGCCTTGGCATGGGGGGGGTGTTGGAAGTGGGTGCCACGGCATTGCTTCCAGGAGCCAGTGGGAGGGTGGTGTGGACAGGCATTGTGGGTATCAGCTGTGTATCCAGGGCTGCGTGTGTGCATGTGTGGCATATCCGTGTGTGCTGTCTGTGTATTGTGCTGGTGGGTGCTGTGTGAATCAGTGTGCCTGGGATATGTGTTTGGGTATTGTGTCCCTGCTGCTGTGTCTGTGTCGTGTGTCCAATGTTGTGTGTCCATTCAGCTGCTCTGTGTGCGTGCGTGTGCATGTGGTAGGGACACGTTTGTGTCCTCACAGTCCACTCTTCCAGGGGCCCAGGTTTCTGTCCTCGGCTGGCCCCAAGGTGGGGGACGACGGTCTCCAGCCAGACTCCCCTTCCCGCCCCGGCCCACTAATTGAAGCCAGGTTTCTGTGGGCCTCCCCTCCCCCACAAGCCACCAGTCTCTGGGGGAGGGTTGGGGCAGCCGCTCTGCCCCCTCCCCCGGGCCTCAGGACTTGGGGTACCAGGTGTGAATGGTGGATTCACATTCACCCACATATTCGTGACCACAGTAGGGCATTCATCACACTTTAAAACAGCAAAACCTGCCTGAGGTGGCTCCAGGGGGGACTGATTGATACCCACTGGTTGATACCCACTGATTGATACCCACTGATCGATACCCACTGATTGATACCCACTGTGTGCCAGGCTCTGTCATGCCTTGGCCTAACAGTCGTCCAGGGAGGTGGCCCTTGCCCCCTTGTGAAGAAGATAAGAGAGGTGACACGATGGCCCTGGGACACCCAGCTGGGAAGGGACCGCCTCCTGGATATTACGAGGGTGGCTTCTCCATTCAGGGCTCTGCCAGCCTTGGACCCGACATGCTGTGACCCTGGGCAGGCCGTTCCCAGTCTCAGGGCCTGACTCCAGCTCCTGATGACCTCAGATTCTGAGTCCCTGAAAAATTAAGACCCGAGAGGAAGTGGGGGCACCTGGTAGGCAGATGACCACTTGGGAGAACTGTCCAGGCCAGTTCTTCCATTCTGCAGATGGGAAACTGAGACCCAGAGAGGGCAGGGGATTGTCCAGGGTCCCACAGCCGTCTCCTGTGAGTCCCTGCCAGCTCCCAATGGGGCTGTGTCCCCACACTTGGCCTCCCCTTTCTCTGGCAGCCAGGATGGTTTGTGTGGTGCAGAGGCCTCAAGGTCAGACCCCTTGAAGAGCCGGTGACAGTTGGCGTGGCTGTCTCCTCGTCCTCTGTCCCTGGTTCCATGCATGTGCCCATGTGTGTGTGTGTTTGGTCCTGCATTCCTTGGTGGCTGGAGCTGGAAAGATTTCACTCAACAGGGTTTCCTTGGTGGGGGGAGGACCCCGAACAAACACATCGGGGGAGGACGACCGCATGTGGCTGAGAGTGGGAAGTGCCGGCTGGTCCAGGGTCCCGAGCACCCCTTTCCTTGATGCACAGGCGCTCTGTGCCTCGCACCCTCCTAACAGCTCTGAGAGCGCCACCTGTGCTCACCCCCACCCTGCTCCCAATTTGCATATGGAGGAGGTGAGACTCAGAGGAGTCAGACCGCAGAGCCAGGAAGGGTGGAGCCAGGATGCCACCCCCGCCCACCCAGCTTCTTGGCACCCAGGCGGCTCTGCTGCCACTGCCGCCACGGTCACGCTTGCCCTCTGCAGAGAGAAGGGGGGACGATGGGGAGAGGGAGGCGACTGCTAGACCAAGACCCCGAAGCTCAGGGCTGTCTGTGGGAGCCTTGGCTACTGAGGGCCAACGGGGAGGCGTCCAGTGCTTTGTTGCGCGTCTCAAGTCCCATCCTCGCTCCTAATGTCCTGCGCGGCGATCCTGAGGCCCTGGAGACCCCTGGAGATGTCGAAACCTGGAGGAGTAGGGCTCCTGGCAGATGGAGTATTGCTTCGGGCACAAGCCCTTTCCTGGGCCAGGGGGCCCACACACATACCCACGCACCACACACACGCCACACACAACACACACAGTATACACAATACATACATGCACCACATACACTCACGCACCACACACATCACATATATGTATATGTGGTGCATAAGTGTGTGCTGTGTATTGTATGTGCATGTGTGTTGTGTGTGCATGCATGTTATGTGTGGTGTGTGTCTTTGTGGTGTGAGAGTACATGTGTATTGTGTGCATGGGCATGTATGTGTTTGCATGTGTGTTGTGCATATGTGTGTGAGTGTGTGTGTAATGCGTCTGTGCTATGTGCATCTGTATTGTGTGTAGTGCATGTGTGAGTGCGTGTGGTGTGCTAGTGTATGTGTTGTGTGTGTATGTGGTGTGTATGTGGTGTGTGAGTGTGTGTGCTGTGTGAGTGTATGGTGTGTGTGGTATGTGTATGTGGTGCATGTGTGTGTTGTGCGGGTGAGTATGAGGTGTGTGTGGTGTATGAGTGTGTGTGATGTAAGTGTGGGTGTGTTGTATTGTGTGTGATGTGGGTGTTGTGTGTGTGGTGCATGAGTATATGTTGTGTGCTGTGTTGTGTGAGGTGTGTATGAGTGTGTGGTGTGCATATGTATGGTGTGTGTGGTGTGTGAGTGTATATATGGTGTGTGAGTGTGTTGTGTGTGGCATGTGCGTGTGTATGGTGTGTGTATGTGTGGTGTGTGAGTGCATAAGTGTGTGTATTGTATATATTGTGCATGTTGTGTGTGGCATGTGCATATGTGTGTGGTGTGTGTGTGTGGTGTGTGAGGTCACCTGGAACAAGCCCCTGAACAGCCCAGGCTGTTTCTGCCTCATTTCCAGAATCCTCGCAGCACCTGTGAGGTGGCTGGTGTCCTCTGCTGTCCCGAGCAGACCCTGGGGCCATAGCTTGGCAAGTGACTGCAGCCGAGGCCATGGGGAACCCCTCCCTCCTCCGGCCTGGGAACTTGCTGTGTGGTCTCAGGCCTGCCCCATGCCCTCTCTGGGCCTGTCTCTCCAGCTCGATCCCCTCAGGCCTCAGGACAGGGGATCCCAAGGATTTTCTGTCTTGGAGCCTCTAGCCCCAGCCAGCTTCAGGGACCCGGGTCCTCCAGTGGGCCAGGAGGGGCTCTCGGGGGGGCCCGCCAGGGGGTGCAGTCCCGGGGCTTGTCTGAGCACCAGGCCCACTCATGCCAACTGGGAGAACTGGTGTTTTGGAAACCCTCTCCCTGCCACTCAGCCATGTGGAGCTGATTCATCAGCCGGGCTGTCTGGGCCAGAGGGGGCCTTGGGGGTTTGGCCAGGAGCAGCCTTCCCTCAGGGGAGGGGGCGAGGGCTCCTCAGGGTCCTGTCTCTTGGGGTGGGGTGTTGCCTCAGGCGCGAGGGCTTTCCCAGCCCTCCTGGCCCTGCTTGGAGCCTTGGGGTAAGGGCAGGGGCGGGGGGACACGCTCAGTATGCCCTGGCATCCAGCCCCCACCCAGCTCAGAGACCCAGAGGCTCCAAACCCTAGGAATCTTCTGGAGAAGGAGGCCGAGCCAGGGCTGGGGGAGGTTCGCGAAGGCCTCTGACAGAGCCGCCAGTAGGTGGCACAGCGAAGCCCCTGCGGCTGCCCAGCGCGTGGGGGTGAGGCCCTGAAGGCAGCAGGGTTGCAGAGGGCTGGGACTGCTGGGGGACCCCCGGGGGGGCAGGGAGTGTCACTCGGACCCTCCGTCGCTCCCTCAGCCCTGCCGTCCTGTCTTGCTTCTTGCCTGGATCCAAACCCCAGCTCCTGGAGAGTCACTTAATTCCTCTCAGCCTCAGTTTCCCCACCTGGAACATGGGGATAATCATAGTACTTCCCCTATTGGGTTGTTACTGAGATTCAGTGAGAAATTCTATGTAAGAAACTTAAAACACCCATCAGTAGTGTGTGGGATGAAAAATAGAACTTAAAATAGTAACTGACACATGATAAGCAATGAAAGTGTAACTTACCATTATTCATTCAGCCACCAGGTAAGATGCATTTATTGAGCACTGACTGTATGCCAGCTACTGTGCAAAAACCCGGGGTGCTGAGAGGACAAAGATTCAGCCCCGTCCCTCCAGAGAAAGCTGGGGGACAGATGTACACCCCACATCTGAAACAGTGGGGCCCACTGTGCAGCGGGGGCGGGCAGGTGGGCGGCTCGGGCTGGGAAGGGAAGGGTCTTGCTGGAGCCATCTCATGTTTCCTGCCCCGCTTCTGGGTCTGGAGAGCCCCGATTCTGCATCCGAGGCCCCGGGGTTCCACTTCTGTCTCGTGTCCCCACAGGTTGCGGGGCACCATGGCGTCTGCGGCAGCCTCTGGCCTCCTCACCTCGCTACTGCTGCTGCTGCTCCTGAGACCCGCGCCCATGGCGGCCCACTCTGTGCCCCTGCCGGCAGCCTTCCTGGAGGACGTGGCGGGCAGTGGCGAGGCCGAGGGCTCGTCGGCCTCCTCCTCGAGCCTCCCGCCGCCCTGGACCCCGGCCCTCAGCCCCACACCCGCGGAGCCCCAGCCTACGCCCCCGGTGGGCCCCCCGCCCCCTACCAACCTCCTGGACGGCCTCGTGGACTTCTTCCGCCAATACGTGATGCTCATCGCCGTGGTGGGCTCCCTGGCGTTGCTGCTGATGTTCATCGTCTGCGCCGCCCTCATCACCCGCCAGAAGCACAAGGCCTCGGCCTACTACCCGTCGTCCTTCCCCAAGAAGAAGTACGTGGACCAGAGCGACCGGGCCGGGGGCCCCCAGGCCTTCAGTGAGGTCCCCGACAGGGCCCCCGCCAGCCGGCCCGAAGAGGCCCTGGATTCCTCCCGGCAGCTCCAGGCTGACATCCTGGCCGCCACCCAGACCCTCAAGTCCCCCGCCAGGGCTGCACCTGGCAGCGATGCTGCCAGGATGCTGGAGGGCAGGGCGGAGGGAAAGGAGACGGGCAGCCAGGAGGTGGACCCGGATGCCCAGGGACGCGGGGGCCCGGAGGAGGCACCAGAGGCGCTGGGGGAGGCATGCTCGGCAGGGGCCGAGGGGGCC